AAAGAAAGAAAGAAAGAAAGGAAGGAAGAAAGAAAGAAAAGAAAAGAATGAAAGAAAAAGAAAGAAAGAAAGAAAGGAAGGAAGGAAGGAAGGAAGGAAGGAAGGAAGGAAGGAAGGAAGAAAGGAAGAAAGAAAGAATGGCAACTTTCTTCTGGTGGTAACACAAGCCTTTAATCACACCACTGGGGAAGCAGAGGCAAAGGCATTTCTGAGACTTCAAGACCAACCGCCTCCATAGCCTTGTCCAGTATAACCAAAGTTTCAAAAATTTTCTCTAATAACAAAGGAAAAGAAGGATAGTAAGAAAGGAAGAAAGAAAGAAAAGAGAAAGGAAGGAAGGAAAGAGGGAAGGAAGCATGTTTCTCTCAGGTGTTGGTGGTACAAGCCTTTAATCCCACCACCTGGAATGCAGAGGATAGCCTGAGCTATACGGAGAAACTATGTCTCAAATCACCAAAAGATTCTGTGTCAAATTGTCATTAAATTGGTGAGCACAATATATAGCTGTGCTCCAGCTTGACACCATTAGGTGGAATCCCATAAGTAGAGCATATTTTTATGGTGCTAGAATGCAGCTGAGTGTCCTGAGTACACCTAAAGGGGGCTTTAACAGCCAACTAGAGCCTGGGTCTCTAAGACTACTCTCTTAGTATCTAAGCATAATTACTTACTGTCAAGTACGCAAAGACAAGCAAACAAAAATCACTATGAAATAAAGTTTCTATGTGGAATATGTGGACTACAGAATAAAAGGTAATGTAGTCTACCATTTTTTCATTTAATATTATTTTTATATTTAATAGCAATAAGGAAAGTAACATTACAGTAGGGAGTACTTAAAAATCACTTGATTACAGAATTCCCCCTTGGAGAAGTAAGGGCAGACAGGGTTTTTGACGGTGCCAGGAGGATATTTGTGTATGAGGGAACTCTTGCCAACATTCACAAAAATTAAACATCCCTCCTCACAATCAAGGAACACACCAACTCGGCCCAGTGGTCTCTATATAATGCTGGAATACTGGGCACGTGATGAGGAGACTGTATTGATTACCCTCCTTCATACACACAAGAAGAAATGCACCTTCAGATTCAATCAGTTGATTTCTATACCTTAACAAGGAATCCTTACAGACCCCTACAGCCCAGTCCCAAGAGTCCTTCAAATCAATCTCCCAGTAATATTTCCATAGGATGAAGCTCTGTGATATCCAGGAAGCATAATAGCATCCAACAGAATCTGTAGATGTATCTGTATGGTGAGGTCTGAAGCTCAATCTTCTCATGGCATTAAAGAGGTTTATCTTGTGATGGATGATAGTTATGTTGGGCAAGGAAATGTGCACTGTGGGAAGAAACAACATTTAGGTAAAATAACCGTTTATATTTCTAAGGTGAGAGAGGTTCATAGAGAGACACAGCAATATTAGCTGAGCTCTGGCGTATGATCCTCATTGTGTGGAGGACATAGATGTAGCAGTCTAGGAATCAGAAGTTATAGAAACTCACTCTGTCTGATCCAGAGAAGAACGAAGTTTTCTGGCCCTGGAATGTTCTTATATACTCACTAAAGACCATGCCCACTTCCTCCCATCGTTGCTTTAAATAATGCTTCGAATAGGTAAGTCCTTGAAAATAGCATTATTCTTAATGGACAGAAGATTGAATTAACTTTTTGTCCAATGTTCACTAGCAAACCTCCACAGTAAGGTTTCCTGAGTTCCTGCTTAGCTGGGTGTGGTAGCTCACACCTTTAATCCTAAAGTCCTAGGGATTGGGCTGCTGAAGTAGTAGGTGTTTTATTAGCTCACACCTTTAATCCTAGAGTCCTAGGGCTTGGGCTGCTGAAGTAGTAGGTGATTTAGTTCAAGGACTGCCTAGGATATACAATAAGAACTTGACTTAAAAAAACACAGTAATTTTGCTACAACATTACACTATTTCTAAATATTTTGTGCTATGCTTATAATTTGGTTTTCTTTCTTGTTCTGGGCCACAGCTCTATATGGCCATTGTTCCACACCAATCATGTCCTTAGATTTTTATGTCAAGGCATGGGCCACAACCATCTCTGAGGCTCCATGACCAGGTACCAACTGAGGGTCCACAAGAATGTTTTGGCACACTTGCATGGCATCCTGGAGGTTGCTTTCTACTTCTGACAGTATCCCCATGGTGGTTTCAAGAAGAATGGTGCAGGCTTTGGGTATTTGCACTCAGTGAGGTATGTGAAGTATTCATTTCCATTTTTCTTGATTTCCAATAGGCCTGTGCCTGTAGCATCATCTTTTCCTCTCAGTTCCTCTGATCTGCTTACTATCTGTGCTCCACAGTCTCTAGCAATGTGATTATTGTCTGTCTTCCATACTCTGCAAATGGCAGTGTCGTGGGCCAGCAGGAGGTGGTGCTGAGCTAAATCTGAGATGCCCTTCTCTGAGATGACCATGCCAGGCTGTGTTAAGATACCTATAATGGTTCCTTGTGCTCTCTAAATACTAAACACATCTCAGTGTTGACACCTTGCATAACAAATAATACTAAGCACATTTTTTCCTGCCAGTCCTCTTAGTAGTTATGCATATCATTCCCTTGAAATCTCAGTCCCGGAAACAATTTAATCCTTGATCTGATTTACTATTTAAACCATACATTAGATTTCAGATCAAGTAATTAAAACCTAGTTATGCTTATTTACAAGAACATAGAAAAGAATCGATTGGCCATACAGGCAGACACTCACATAATACCACAATTGGGCAGAATCTAAAAATGAAGAGATCATGGGGATCTGAACCCAAACATACACCTCTGTATCCTACATCAATGGCTCCAGAAATATTGTGGAAGAGGGGTCAGAAAGACAGTGAAAGCCAGAATACCAGGAAGTGTGCTGTGAAACGTTCTCTCCTAGAAATGGCTGCATGAACAAGACCAGAACAATGAATATGTTGGTATGAATGTGGGAAATTTT